AAGCTGCCTTTTGCAATTGACTGATGGTGATTTTGTCAATGCCAATGGTGTTCAAGTGGTCTTATCATCATCTTCATCATCATCATTATATCTGTGAGTCTTCTGCCAAGTCAAGTATTTATAGCCAACCCAAGATAGGTAGCCTGAGAGCAACAGAAAAAGAGAAACCTCTAACAAGCTCACTGATTCTTGCTGCTATTAGGAGTAAAGGAAACTGGGCAAAGCCTGTGTTCCATGCAGGCTGATGAACGACCAAGAGTTGCAAATGACTCATTTATTAGCCATGTGTGCAGTAAACTGTGCTTAATTTAAGTACAGTTTGTTACAAGATTAGGTAGTCTTTTGGGATGATGTATATTCTCCCAACATGGCTGCCTTGGGAAAGCTTGCATATTCACAGAAAAACAAAACACATTCGCATTAGAATGAAAGGAGACACTCTGCTACCCTTTTTATCTCTCTAGGTTGCTTTCCTCTTTCTTCCTGGGAGATGCATACAGTATGTTTTCAACAAAGCGTGGGACTGCAGCTACTCATTGTTTATATTTCCCGAATAATGCCTATGAGACTCAAAAATATTGCATATGAAAATGACTGATGCTTTACTCTGCAGAATTCTGGCTCCTAATTTATTATCTATTTTAATTAGAAGAGTCATTTAAAAAGCCAGGTAGAATACAGCACTAAGAGAGGTATATATGGGTACCATTTACTGAAAAAAACAGCTTCAGAAATATTGGCTTTTTACAAAATCCATATAGTTTGGCTGGATTTAGACACTAGGCTGAACTTTTAGCTCCTTGACTCTGACAATCTCAGCCTTAGTCATTTTACATTCTATCACAGTATAGTGATGTCCATATGAGGTTACTATCTATTGTGAATAATATATTTAAGTAATTATGTTTTCTATAAATACACAGATAAGGACTTGAACAATTCCCAACAAGTACTTCCAAGTCATCACCAGGTTTTTATGCATGCCAGTTCACAATTACTGATGCTACATATGTTCCTTGTTATTCAAAATTCAGGTAGGTATTTTCTGTCTTTCAACACCAAATCATCTCTGTGAAACATGTAAAAAGAATACATATTCATGGCATGCAGATTCCCTGCTAGAAACCCTAAGTTCTGTTTTGTCACATTACCTCACTTGAATCTGATGATTTTCCAGCAGAAATGCTTCTTACTGAAGCCTCTAGCTGAGTCATCATCACTCGGAAGAAAATGGGAAAAGTTTGTCTGGTAAAAAAAAGGGTGAGCAAATATTAACTATATTCATCCTACTACTCAGCATTATGACATTACCACTTTCTGCAGCATATGTAGTATCTATCTCTCAAACAAGATGTATTTCTGGAGAACTGCCCAATGGATAAAAAAAATCTCTCAAATCAACTATTATAAAAAATACAAAAGTCAGCTTAAAATAAAGATGAAGTCATGTGGTTATTATCATTCAAAGCAAGGACACTGAATGCAAATCAAGGAAGCAAAACTATGTCTAATGAACTATTACAAAGTTAAGCGGACCTATGGAAGTATGCTAAATCTTGTCAAGGATAGCTCAAATTATCCAGTATTCCCATTTTCATATATTCAACTTGCAATCAGATGTGTGGAGAAGCACTCAGGTAAGGTACTGTATAAACTTGGTAAACAAATATATTGACAGCCACCGTTATTATAAGAACGATGGTGACATATTGGCCAAATTGCTCAAGAACCTGGCATGTATACCTAAAGCATGACAAAAGTCATAGTAGATGTGAATTTGCTGGCTTTTGGAAAGGATATCCAAGGACCTAAGAAAATAAGGGAGAAGGCTGAAAAGCTTCAGTGCACATGCAAGATTTTAATTCACAGACTTTATGGTAAAATTGTAATTGAAGTGACTTACTTTTGGAAAGATGATGAACAAATCTGAGCCACAGTCACTTATCAGTAAACAATCTTGCTAATCATGATAATAGAACCATACACCAGGTATTTCTTCCCAAATGTGGTTGCTGAAAATTTGGCTTCCTAAAATACTTTCACTTTTATTTATTTATGTAAGCCAATGTATTGTCGAAGGCTTTCACGGCCGGCATACGATGGCTGGTGTGGGTCTTCCGGGC